TTCAACCTAATTCTAAAAATCATTTCCCAGTGTAACTTCAAATAAATCCTTTGTGAATGTTTCTAGTTTCTTCTACACATTAGGAAAACCTAAAAGGCAAACAAGTTCTAGATAGGAGACTAAGTAAGTATTAGTTGTTCACATTTGTATAGAACATTAAATTTTAGTTCTCACAACCCAGTGAAGAAATACAAATGAGTCTAAGAGTTTGAGCAAAACCCTCTGGGGTGATCAAAACAAACTGCAAACTTCTATGATTCTCAACTTTTCTTCCATAGAGTCCTTGGCAGCATGCTTACTGTACTTACAGAAGCATGCAAAGAATTAGGTGGTTTTTTATTCCTAACAATCACATCCCAAAGTTTTTTCTGCAATTTCAATTGTACAGAGCACTCTTCCTCGATGTTGACTCAAATTAGAGACAGAAAGCAGAATGGCGTTTGCTAGGGATTAGGGAAGAGGGGAATACAGAGTAACTGCTTAACAAGTACACTGTTTCCTTTGGGGGTAATGAACATGTTTTGGAACAACATTGTGAATGTACAAAGTGCCACCTAAACTGTTTACTTTAAAATGGTTAATTTTATGTCATGGGACTTAACCTCAATAAAAAAATTATGTTAATCTATAGATAAAACTGACCCCTTTAGAACTCTTCCTCAAAAAAAACAAAAAACAAAAAACAAAAAAAACTGCTATCATGTTCAAATGCTATTTAGATATTGGAAATTTTTTAGATAAAATGCAATTATAAGTTAAATTATTACCACATGTGCACAGTAATAATCAATGAAGGTATACCAATGTCAGTTTAAAACATTGCTATGCCTGTAATCTCAGCACTTTGGGAGGCAGAGGTGGGAGGATCACTTGTGCCCAGGAGTTTGAGACCACCCTGGGCAACACAGCAAAATGCTATCTCTATAAAAATAATAAAAATTTAAAAAATTAGCCAGGTAAGGCGGGCATATCACTTAAACAAAGGAGTTTGAGGCTTAAGTGAGCTATGACAGTGCCACTGCACTCCACCCTGGATGACAGACCATGAGTGACTCTGTCATTCATTCATACATATACACATACAGCATTGCTAAAATGCTTGATAATTATCAAAATAATATTGCTCTGACATACATCTGTAAATAGCTGACTTTAAATTTGAGAAAAATAACTTCCCCAAACCTCAATCAGGAAAACATTATAAACTAATAAGAAGTACCTAACAAACAAAAAGCAACCAAGAGTATTACATAAGAAGTAAACAGGCACAATCGCGACCAAAAATGGACAGAAATAAATATGCTAAAGTTAATTATCTTAGGGATATAGGGCAACATTACTTCAGATTGGTAAACATCACACTTCAAAAATAGAAGGAATCTACCTTAAGAAACACTGTACTAAGAAAAACTCCTTTGTATAAATGCCTGACAAAACTAATATTTTATCATAACCTCTAAATCCAGCCTAGATTCCAGGATTACACAAAAGAAAAAATCTTGGAGAAGGTTCTGGGAAAAGGCTGACTGAAATCTGTGACTGTTCTGATACAGGCCAATCTGAGAATTTTAATCCCTCTGAACCCAATCCTGAAGAATACCTGAACCCTGAGCACAGACAGGGCCAAAGCTAAACCAGGTCAGAATACCCTGCCAAGGAACATCCTGATCCGAGGTGTTCACCAAACAGGGATCATTTATCAGTTTATTCCTCACTTTGTTGGATGCTGACCACTTTCAAGATATATACAAGAGTGGACTGATTAGACCCATCAAAATCCATTTCAAGTCCTAAGATCTGGAGATGAAAAATACTGCAGAATTCTAAATTATCCATGGCTTAAAGAAAAAAAATGTATAAATTAAGAACTTCAAATATTATTAGCTGACCCAACTTTAACATCACTGAATATCTTTAGTTATTTTTAAGAATTTATAAAGTATTTAAAAGGCACAATTTAGTAATTGCCTATATAACAAATTAACCATGAAAACAATTATAGCAGTATGATAAATCTGTCCTATGTAAACAGTATGAGTTTTTATATTTTATAGCATTCAGATATGCTAAAAACAAAAAGTTAAGTGTTTCTTTTGTGATTCACATGAACAAATACTTTCTTGTTCTTACAAGTAGATATCTGACAGGATACAAATAATGATAATAGGGTAAGTTCACAGGCAAAAAAAGGAATCTGTTGACACAGAAGATGCTGCAAAGTTTAACTGTGACACATGTGGTAGTGGCAAAGAATCTAATTTGTGTAACAAGACCTGGGTCTGAGTAAGCTCTTTCACCTATTAATTATGTGATCTTTTTGCGCATTATGTAGCTACTCCTAGCTTCAGATTCTTCATATGAAAAAATGAGGACAACAGAACTAATACTGCAGCATAATGAGGAAGATTAAATATTTTTATTCATTCAACAAATATGTTCTGAAAAACTAAATTTGTATTATTGTGTACAAAATTACCCTTTTTAATTTCTTCAAATAAATCAAGCATGTATTAATTTTTAATATTACTAAGAAAATATAAATCTAATTCTTAAGCTCTGGTCCCAAAACTTCTTAGAAGTAAATTTTTATTACTTGAGAAAATCTGAACTTAAGTAATAAGTATTGACACTGAAGACGGGACAATTGAGGGATCACATCTTAAAACTGTTTTGACATAAAATGAATAAAAACAATTCCCTAAATTTTTTCCTATTAAACAAATAAGGACCCAGACTAAGCCCATAAATTGCTGGGTCAATAACCAATCTCAAATACAAAACCTTACCACTTAAAAATACTTATTTTCAGGAAAATGATAATAAATATGAGGTAAATCTGCCCTTGACATAACACGGTGAGATTTTTTTTCATAACACAGTACATGAACCACTTAAAACTTACAAGCTATCAATTACTACAATTGTTCTAATAGGTTTAGGGCCAAACATAAATTTAACTATCATTATAACATGGACTTGGAATCTGTGCTGACCTAACAAAATTTAGCACAGAAAAAAAAAATCACAGATCTGAGCATCTGAAAAACGGTGTCTTTTCTGAAATGTTTGCAAAAAAGTCACAACATCAGGAGCCACAGAAAGTTGTTCTTTCTCCGTCACTCAAAAAATCAAAACATCTCCAACATTATTTATGCTAGGCATAAAATGAAAGTCAGTATTGATATTCACTCACTATACTTCAAATCCTAACCAAGATAATTCAACCTCTATGTTTATTCAATTGCTAGTCTATTCAGTATCAATTGTTGTGGAAGAACTAAGAGGTAGACTAGTGCTGCTTACTAGACTTCATGTAACCTGAAAATGTTTTTAATTATAACAGACTTAGACCAATTCTACTTAGAAATGTACCCTTAAAAGAGGTGAAAGACATTAACTGGCATCTTTTCAGCACAGGTCAGTCTTCCTTAAGAACACAACCTATAACCCTTAGGCCTTACAGTTGAATGTTAACAAGTGAAAAGCAATTTCCTTGGATGTATCCAAGCAATTTTAATATAAATTTCTGCATACCTAGGTAGAAAGTACTTTAGAAATAACTTAAATCTACCTTTTCCCTCACTTGTAAGAAAATGTGGTAGAAACCTTGAAAAATTAAGTTTAAGGCTCAGGCCTGTAATCCCAGCAATTTAGGAGGCTGAGGCGGGCAGATGACTTGAGGTCAGGAGTTCCAGACCAGCCCGGCCAACATGGTGAAAACCCCGTCTCTACTAAAAATACAAAAATCAGCCAGGCGTGGTGGCGGGCGCCTGTAATCCCACCTACTCCGGAGGGTGAGGCAGGGGAATCGCTTGAATCCGGGAGATGGAGGCTGCAGTGAGCCGAGATTGCGCCACACACTCCAGCCTGGGTGACAAGGCAAGACTCCGTCTCAAAAACAAAACAAAACAAAACAAGAACAAACAAAAATGAAATCAAATTTCTAACTCAGAGAAAAGACTGGTCTTGAACAATTTAGGGACAAATTACTGAAACAGGAGACAAGGCACAAGAAGCTCTATGGCTGGAGATGAACCACCTCTGTGTCTCCTTTAGAAGTGCTTCCTGAGGTCCACTTTACGCTAGTTAATGTTGCTTCTTACACTGCATGTTAGTAATTTAAAACGCCTAGCTGGAATAAAAGTTCTCTTTAAACATTACAATTTGTCTCCGCGTTGAAAGTAAGTGTTTGTCTCCAGTTTCATGGGCTATTCTGATATGTCAAGAGTAGTATTATTACTGTTCCAAAAGAGCTCTTGTTTCAATTCACTTTCAACTGGGGCGCGGGCATAACTGATGTTTACAGAACTGATGCTTAGAGATGTTTAGAGAGGCGCATCCCTTACCATTCCATCCTTTATCGATAACCATATTTTGTATGTTTTTGTTGCATTTCAGTTTTTTTTTTTTAAGACACCTGCACACACACAATTTTCCCACCGCCAGGAGGGAGAAGACCACAGGCTAGGTCTCCAGGGGCTTCAGGGAAACAGACACCGTGAACCCCGCTTGGCCAAAGAGGGGGAGCGCTTCAGGGGCTGGGGGAGGGAGCAGCCCTAAGGTGCTGGGAGTCAGAGGCGGCGCCTGTTTACAGACGCCTTCGCCCTCCCCCACCCCCACAGAGGAGGGGTCCAAAAAGCAGTTCCCGTGCGCACTCCCCGACTGGCCCAGGCCCTGGCAGCACCAGAGGAGCCAGGCAGCCCTTTCGCCCCCTCCCTCTAGTCCGAGCCTCCCTTCGCCCTCCTCTCGGCCTACCTACCCCTACAGGCCCTCCAGGCGGCATGCAGAGGCCTGAGGCCTAAAGGACGCCGGCCACTGACAAGCCCCAGAGCAGCCGGCGGGGGCCCTGAGGAGCCTGGGGCCGGCCGGGCGGCCGCTGCGGCGGGGAGCAGAGGGCGGGCGAGGACAAATCCTTCCCGACCACAGCTGCCTATTGTTCCCGACGGAGGCCCCGGCCGCGGCAGCCCCGCTCCCCAAGTCGCCGCCCGCCGCTCGCTCACCGCGCTGGTCCGAGCAGCAGCTCCTCTCAGCTCCGAGTCCCCGCGGCCGTCGCCACCGCCGCGGCAGCCGCCGCCGCCGCCGCTGCCACCGTTGACTCTGATTCTGTCCCAGGCCGCCGGGCCACGGCTGCCGCCGCCACCGCCAGCACCGCCTCCGGCCTCCCACCTGCTGCTGCTGAGGCTGCTCCTGCAGCAGGGGCCATCTTGTTGGTCTGCCTCCTCTTCCTCCTCCTCGTCCTCCGCCGCCCAGTCGCTCGTTGTCCTCGTCCCCTTCCTCTTCCTCAGGCTCCGGCCCGCCCCGGAGACTGGGGCGGAGACGAGGGCGAGGATCCTCCCTCAGAAGGCGGGGCGAGCGGAGGGGCGGGGCGGGCGCGGGAGCAAAGCTCTGAGTCACCGGCCACCAACGCCCGGGAGGGAGGCCGGCGACGCTCTCCGCCGCGACCCAAAGTCTCACACTCCCTGAGCCGAGGAACCGGTCCCTCCGTCCGGCCTGCCCTCCCGCACCGGCGCCTTTGGGCTCAGCGGGCCAGTGGCCAGATGGCGAGAGTAAATTGGAGGAATTTCTGTCGTTTCCATCGAACCCCGCAATACGTCTACTCTTTTGGCTTTCTCAGCCGTTGTCCCCCAACTCTGGTTTCTTTTTCACGTCTTGTCCCCCACCCCATTTGTCTTCTTCCATATTATCTAGGTTCTGGATCTCATCAGCTTTGTCCTCGTCACCCCTCTTGGAGTTCAGCCTCCTAAGGCTGTGAAACAGCCCAAAGGCCCGGACACGCTACTCCAAAACGTCTCTCCTGGGCTGTGTGAACAATAAGAGCTATTTGGGGACGACAGGAAAAGATGTGGCTCGTCGAAGAGCTCCTGAAATCTAACCTTGCTACTCTTTAAAAGTTTCTTGTCCCTTGTGGAAAAGGTGCCGTTTTGGTTTTGGGGAATGAGAGGTCCCTTCAGACAATTCATTTTAGCCAAACCCTCTTTAGCTTTTGAGAGGGGGAAGAAATGGGATTATCGTAACACAATACAGTACTGATTTCAAAATAAATCATCTAGAAGAGAAGAGAGAGAGAGAGAGTCCCCAAATAAACAACCATTTAATACTCTCTACTCGGCAGCATCACCTTTTTTGCTTCAGGACTTGACCAAGAGAGCAGAGATTATGTTTTTCTGTCCTTTCTTCACTGTTTACATCACAGTACCCCAAGAGAAGCACTTCTGCCTTTAACTTGATACATTGGAATCGCTATCACAGATAGTATTTTTGTATTATTTTAAAGAAATATCACACACCTTCCTAAACTCTTGGCAGAGAAGAATTCTTTTTAGTTGTTAACACCCTCCTGCTCCTGAAATCTCAGCTTCTGTTTAGAAGACCTATTGATGTCTTTCTATTGATTGGAATTTGCTGCCTTTGAACTGGGTTTAATCTGTAATCGTCTTTTCAGCCTACTAAATAGTAACCCTAGTCCTACAGAGAGTGAATTTCTAGCTACCATAGGGGGATTTAGGTTAGCATGTGCCAATCTAAAGGGATCTCTTAAAGCCTTTCCCTCCTCAAACCAGGCCTCTGTACCCTGCTAGGAAAAACAGATTAATCTGCTCCTCCTGCTTTTCCTCCTCCTCCCTTCTTCTCACTCCTAGGGAACCTTCCACAACAGAAGGTTTTAGCGACTGTTGCTAGGCAAACATGCCAACTTCCTTGTTTAGGTGAAGCAAGTAACTCAACTTCCATTACAAGCAACCTAGATAATGTAATTTCTTCCCCCCCACCCCACCCCCCAGACGGAGTCTTACTTTGTAGCCCAGGCTGGAATGCAGTGGGGTGATCCCGGCTTCTCCTCCCAGGTTCATACCATTCTCCTGCCTCAGCCTCCTGAGTAGCTGGAACTACAGGCGCCCACCACCACGCCCAGCTAATTTTTTGTATTTTTAGTAGACATGGGGTTTCACCGTGTTAGCCAGGATGGTCTCGATCTCCTGACCTCGTGATCCACCCGCCTCGGTCTCCCAAAGTGCTGGGATTACAGGCGTGAGCCACCGTGCCCGGCCAACTTCTTTGAACTATTAATAGTTGTACCTCAGTTGGTAAGGCTCCTTAAAAGGTTCCCTTAAGCAATATGATTTTTAAGTTGTTTATTTTTATCTCGTCAAAGTTTCAATTAAAAATACGTTAAAGGTCAGATACAGTGGCTCACGCCTGTAATCCCAGCACTTTGGGAGGCTGAGGGGGGCGGATCACCTGAGGTCAGGAGTTCAAGACCAGCCTGACCAACGTGGAGAAACCCCGTCTCTACTAAAAATACAAACATTAGCCAGGGGTGGTGGCGTGCACCTATAGTCCCAGCTACTCAGGAGGCTGAGAAGGGAGAATCACTTGAACCTGGGAGGCGGAGGTTGTAGTGAGCCGAGTTCGCGCCATTGCGCTCCAGTCGGGCAACGAGAGCTAAAAAAAAAAAAAAAAGTTAAAAATGGAGACGCTTCCCCAAACCCAAATTCATTTTAGTGATATAAAGACACATTTGACAGAAAAAGAAGAGCAGCTTTGAAGAAAACACGTATGTTCACAATAAAAAATAAAAAAACTAATCTGTGAGAAGTCATATGTTTTGAACTCCCCAGTCAGACTAGAAGTATAAGAAACAGAAGATAAGGCCAGGAGCGGTGGCTCACACCTGTAATCCCAGCACTTTGGGAGACAGAGCGGGCAGATCACGAGGTCAGGAGATGAAGACTATCCTGGCCAACGTGGTGAAACCCCATCTCTACTAAAAATACAAAATTTAGCCAGGGGTGGTGGCGCGCGCCTATAGTCCCAGCTACTCCGGAGGCTGAGGCAGGAGAATCACTTGAACCCGGGAGGCGTAGGCTGCAGTGAGCCAAGATCGTACCACTGCACTCCATCCTGGACGACAGCGAGACTCCATCTTGGCCGGGCATTGTGGCCCACGCCTGTAATCCCAGCACTTTGGGAGGCTGAGGAATGGATAGCCTGAGGTCAGGAGTTGGGAGATCAGCCTGGCCAACATAGTGAAACCACGTTTCTACTAAAAATACAAAAAAATTAGCTGGGCGGGGTGGTGGGCACCTGTAATCCCATCTACTAGGGTGGCTGAGGCAGGAGAATCGTTTGAACCTGGGAGGCGGAGGTTGCAGTGAGCGGAGATTGTGCCATTGCACTCCAGCCTGGGCAATAAGAACGAAACTCTGTCTCCAAAACAAACAAACAAACAAAAAAATTAGCTGAGTGTGGTGGTGTGCACTTGTAATCCCAGCTACTTGGGAGGCTGAGGCAGGAGAATTGCTTGAACCCAGGAGGTGGAGGTTACAGTGAGCCAAGATCATGCCACTGCACTCCAGCCTGGTGATAGGCAAGACTCCATCTCAAAAAAAAAAAAAAAAAAAAAGATACAGAGGATAATTTGTCTCTTTAAACTGAGTCTATTTAGAAGAAAGATAATACGGATATTCAGCAAGGGGGAAAAATGATATTCTGGGTTTTATTCCCAAATTAACAATTATTTGAAAATTTAGCAAAATAAGCTCTTTTTAAAAAGTTTATTTAAAATGTTTTTACTCTTGTTAGAGTATTGAGATTTGTTGTGAGTTAATACAAATAAGATTAAATGAGGCCGAGCATGATGGCTCATGCCTGTAATCCTAGCATTTTAGGAGGCTGAGGCAGGAGGATTGCTTGAGGCCAAGAGTTCAAGACCACCTGGCCAACATAGTGAGACCCAGTCTCTATTTAATTTTTTTTTTTAATTTATAAAAGATTGATGACACCAGGTGAGGTGGCACACGCCTGTAATCCCAGAACTTTGGGAGGCTGAGGCAGGCGGATCACCTGAGGCCAGGAGTTTGAGACCAGCCTGGCTAACGTGGCAAAGCCCCATCTCTACTAAAAATACAAAAAGTGGCTAGATATGGTGGCACATGCCTGTCATCCCAGCTACTCAGGAGGCTGAGACAGGAGAATTGCTTAAACCCAGAAGACAGAGGTTGCAGTGAGCCCAGATGACGCCACTGCACTCCAGCCTGGGCGACAGAGCAAGACTGTCTCAAAAACAAAAACAAAAACAAAAAAATCACTATTTTGTAGCTTCAAGACAACTTAAACAAATTGGTTTTATCTCATATTTTGTTAATAATTCTGACCCTCTCTGGGCTCCGACCTAGTTCGCGGCGATATGGTCAAACGCACCAAGAAAGTCGGGATCGTAGGTAAATAGGGGACCAGCTATGGGGCCTCCCTCCGAAAAATGGTGAAGAAAATTGAAATCAGCCAGCAGGCCAAGTACACTTGCTCTTTCTGTGGCAAAACCAAGATGAAGAGACGAGCTGTGGGGATCTGGCTCTGTGGTTCCTGCATGAAGACAGTGGCTGGCGGTGCCTGGACGTACAATACCACTTCCGCTGTCACGGTAAAGTCCGCCATCAGAAGACTGAAGGAGTTGAAAGACCGGTAGACACTCCTCTACTCTTTGAGACATCACTGACCTACAATAAATGGGTTAATTTATGTAACAAAAAAATAATAATAATTCTAATGTGGAATACCCAGAAATTTAGACTTTGCTCTGACTTCCTCTACTGATATACTATGAAAATCAAATGAGTCATTTCATATAAAATATCAGTGCATGGCATATAGTAAGTACTCAATTTTTTCAAATTCATTTTGTGCATATGTTATTAGAGTCTTTTGTTTCTTAATCAGTCAGATAAGAATGACAAGTCATCAAATACATTTTTGCTCTTTGCATGAACCCTAAAAAAAGATTAATGCAACTTTTCAGATCATACACAAATCAGTTAAAATAATGCCTTATGTTTTCAATATGTATTCTAATATGCCTGTACTATATTTTCTGATATGCCTGTACTATATTGTTTGTTCCTTTGAATTTTTTTTTTTTTTTTTTTTTTGAGACGGAGTCTCTCTGTCACGAGGCTGAAGTGCAGTGGCACAATCTCAGCTCACTGCAACCTCCGCCTCCCGGGTTCAAGAGATTCCCTTGCCTCAGCCACCCGAGTAGCTGAGACTACAGGCGGGCGCCACCACACCCAGCTAATTTTTTGTATTTTAGTAGAGACGGGGATTCACCATGTTGGCCAGGATGGTCTCAATCTCC